TTTTTTATGCTATTTCATTCAGAAATGAGCAAACAAAAGGACGCAGCCAAAACATGTTGAAATATTTCACTATATTCAAAGTGACCGTTAAAATAAGGTGTGCTTATACTTTCTGGAACAGTCATCATATACACAAATAACTCGTTTAATCATCCGTGAGAACTTGACAAGGTACACAAATAATATCAAAAGTCAAAACTCCAGGGTTGCCAAACTCATGGGTTACTGAGACTGACAGCTTGATTGCTACACTTCGGCACAACGCTGGGCACAGAACAGAGATCCTCAGAATATTTGGGGAATCTCAGAGAAGCATACAAAACTTCATTTCCGGGAAAATTAGTAATTTAAGAATCCTGATGAATGTGGGCGTCTAAGTGGAATATCTGTATAAAGAGGTATAATATGCACATTGAAATACGCGTATCTGTCAAGGATAAGCAATAAAGGTAGTGGAATTAAATGGAAATTACTAATCCTTCTATCTCTCTAAAGTAATTCAGGGCAGTCTAGAGAAAGTTGAGAAAAATCAAACCTCTTTTAAGCAGTTTAAATAAAATAGAAAAAAAGGTTATCTTTCATTTACTTCCTTCGCTCCGTTCGATGATAAAACTGTAATCAACATTTTTTCTTGAAACATAACAAAATAACTAATTCTTCAAGATATACTAATTTAAATTTTCCCGAAAGCCTAGAATTTTCTGAAGTTTTCGGAGCTTCCCTAAAGATATCTGAACTTCATTAAACTTCTCTAGACTTCTCTGGTCTTCTTCAGATCGTTCAAAAGTTCCCTCAATTTACCTAAAGTTAGCTGATCTGAAAGAACTTCAAATTTGATCTACCATAAACTTACTTACTTACTTAAGGGTCCTGTGCACCACCAGCGGTTCAAAGGGCCAACGTGAAAGACTTCCATCCTGGGCGGCTGCTCGCTTTTGTCTTGACAACACAGATTTCACGTTCGAGTTGAAAATTCGAATTTTGGTGCGTTGACTTATTTTGGTGCGTTGACTTATTTTGGTTGGATCTCCATACGTTTCGTAAACTCGCAAAGGCAGCTCTAGCTTTCTTGATTCGTGCACCTATGTCGCTCTTGGTTCCGCCGTCCGACGCTATTTGGCTGCCAAGATATTGGAAACTTTCGACCTTCTCCACTGCTTGCCCCGCTACCGTAAAGTTGGAAGGGTTGCCCGTGTTGATATCCAAAGATTTGGTCTTGTTGACGTTGATGGTGAGACCCGCCGCAGAGGAGCGTTCGGTTAGGTCATTGAGCTTACTCTGCATATCAGAGCGCCGTTGTGCTAGTAGAGCAACATCATCAGCCAAATCGAAGTCGTTGAGATGCTCCATGGTCATAGGCTGCCAAAGCAGCCCACGGTTCGGTACACGGTCAATTGCACCTACCATGATCTCGTCGATTACGATGAGAAACAGTAGCGGTGATAGTATACATCTTTGCCTCACACCAGCGACTACCCGTATAGGGTCGGACAAGGCTCCGTTATGCAGAACTCTGCACGTGAAAGCCTCATACTGCGCTTCGATGAGGTTGACGATTTTATCCGGGACTCCCTTGCGTCTCAGGGCGCCCCACAGATTCTCGTGATTGAGACGGTCGAAAGCTTTTTCGTAGTCAATGAATACTAAATAAAGGGGCTCTTGGAATTCATTGACCTGCTCCAGGATGATGCGGAGCTTGACAATATGGTCCACACAAGATCTTCCGCCACGGAATCCTGCCTGCTGCCGTCGGAGAGTCCTGTATCCGATTCAGGATAACTTTGCACATAACTTTGAGAACAATACACAGTAACATGATGCTTCGCCAATTATCGCACACAGTCAGATCCCCCTTCTTTGGGACCTTCACTAAGATGCCCTGCATCCAGTCGGACGGAAAAGTCGCGGTGTCCCAGATATTACAGAATAGTTAATGCAACATTTGTGCGGATAGCATGGGGTCAGCTTTGAGCATCTCTGCTGATATGCGATCGACCCCTGGAGCCTTGTTGGATTTCATGCTTCAGATAGCTGCTTCAATCTCCTGCAGCGATGGGGCCGCGGAATTGACGCGAGTGATGCTCCGCACCCTAGGCGGATCATGCAGAGATGTTGATGGCTGGTTGGCCGTCGAAACTTGAAGAAGTTGTTCGAAGTGCTCAAACCAGCGTTTCAGCTGGTCAGTGGGGTCGGTAAGCAATTGTCCAGTCGTGTCCTTCACTGGCATCCTCGGGTTCATCCTTGCTCCACTCAGGCGACGTGAGATATCGTAGAGGAGGTGTATATCGCCAGTGTTTGCGGCTTTCTCCCCTTCGTCGGCCAGGGAGTTCACCCACGTCTGCAAGAGCGCTTGACTTCCTTCTCTAGAGCCGAGTACCGTTGACGGGCTTCGATCTTGGCTCCTCTGGTTCTCGCCCGCTCTATCGCGGCTTTTGCTTCTCTACACTCCTCAATCATCCGCCAGGTTTCATCTGTGATCCACTCTTTCCTATGCGTGCACAGCTCACCCAAGTTGTTCTCGCTTGTTTCTATAAAGGCATCAAGGCCGTCCATTGTTCTTCTACGCTGCCACCTTCTGGAACGTCCGCAGCTCGAGTCTCAAGTTCTTCAACAAAAGACCTTTTTACCGCTGGATCTTCAAGTCGGCGTGTGTTGAACCGCCACCCGAGTCTCTCCTCCCGTCGCTGGATCCGCGTTGCGTTTATTCCGGACATCAAGAAGGCTCCGTCTCCATTTCCGGCTGATGCAGATGTGGTCGATCTGATTTTCGGTATGTCCATCACGGGAAACCCACGTGACTTTGTGCACTAGCCGATGGGGGAAGAGCGAGCCCCCGATCACCATGTCGTTATTGCCACAAAATTCTGCAAACAGCTCACCGTTCTCACTCATTTCGCCGGGACCATGGCGTCCCATAGTGCGCTCATAGTCCGTGTTGTCGGAGCCGATCTTCGCATTGAAGTCGCCAGTGTAGATCTTGATGTCACCCTTTGAAACTTTATCCACGACGGCATTCAGTTGATTGTAAAAATTCTCCTTGTCCTGTAGCTCGGCAGCATCGGTTGGCGCATAACATTGGATTATGGTAAGGTTACGAAACCGTGTTCTAAATCTGGCAACGATTATCCTCTCGTTATGATGAGCGCAGCACTTGCCTGGACGCTAAGTAGGAGACCAACTCCACGATGGCGGGGAGCGATTTCACCTCGAATACCAGAGTATAGTAGTACCTGTCCCGACGGCAGTTTGTGTTCTCCAAAGTTTGGCCAACGAACTTCACTCAGTCCCAGGATTTCTAGCTTCATGCGTCGTGCCTCGTTGGCGAGTTGTGCCAGTTTACCCTACTGGGCTAACGTCGATACATTCCATGATCCAATTCGTGTCCGTTGTTTTGCGCTAACAGTCGTTGCCGTTATATCAGTTCGATGTCTTTCTCTGTTGGTTTCTGTAACAATTGTAAAGGTTTCAGAGACAGTAGGTGGTTGGCCTAAGGTCTCCTATCCGCCGTGATGGGGCTGCCATCTTAGGTGTAGCTTCCGGGGAAGAGCATTTCTTATTCAGCCGCTGGATGCCAGTCAGACGCTGTTTGAGCCGCACCTCCATGGTGATCAGACGCTCGGGTTGGCGAAGCTTTTCCTCTATCACCGTGCTATGGTTACCGCGCCAGTGTTCGCGTCGCACCTCCTCACTCTGCTATTGTCGGATTGACAACATTGCCCAGGCTACGCCAACCAGCTGTGTCCATGTTTCAGCTGGCAGTCTTTTGTGATCATATGACTCGTGGAGGCGTGAGGTAGGAACTTGTGAGGACCGGAGCTAGGTATATCGCTCCTTCCAGATTGTCACTCACCATTGTATAGCCCGATCTACCATAAAGTTCCCGTTATTTCCCTGAAGTTTTCGAAACTTCCTTGAAGCTCATGGAACTTGTCTTGTAATCCCTAAACTTCTTTGAACTGCTTTGGGCGTGCCTGAAGGTTTCGTTTCTTTATGAAGTTTCCTAAATATTCAAGAACTTCTCTAGCGTTCCAGCTATTTTCTTAATGTTCATAGAACTTCCCTGAGGTTCTGGTAATTTTCCTGAAAATTTAGGAATTTCCATAATTTCTCGGAACTTCTTGAAAGTTCCTGCAATACATAACATCCTTGAAAAAAGAACTGAAAGACACTGCCTATAAATCCCTAAACTTCTTTAAAGTTCTTTTAACTTCCCTGAAGATCTCGATATCTGAGTTTTTAAGAACTTCTGTAAAGTTAATTGAACTGCCCTCTCCTACATTCTCCTCAAGTTCTTGGTACTGCCCTTAAATAAATGGAACAGTCCAAAAAATCTTTAAACTTTCCTGACTTTCATTAGACTTCTGTAAAGGTTCCAAAATATTTCTTAGGTTTTGCTAAACTTTTCATGAGTTCTCTGGTCTGCCCTGAAATTCCCGGAACTTCCTTTCTGTTTTCGAAAGTTTCTCAAAATTTTCCTGAAGTTTATGAAGCTGGCCTGAATTTATCAAAACTAACCTTCACATATCATTCAACTTCAATTAATTGAGACTACCCATAAGTTCTCTGAGCTTCCGTGAAGTTTTATAGACTTCTCTCTCTGTTCGGGACCTAACACTACTGCGACCAGTAAATTGATCTATTGTAGTATATCCCGTGTCCTTAGTTTTGTGCATGTCGTATTACTCCATCGCTATTGAGAAATGATGAAGTATTCGATTTTTTTACAGTTGTCATTCTTGCATTTATCGCAAGGATCCGACTCTAATTGAAAGGTCCCGCTATTTATACCCTTCGGAGTGTTGAAACACCCTCCAAAGGCACGCCCCTTTGTCAGTCAAAATTGGATTCCTTAGTAAAAAAATTAAGGTATGACACCGATAATGACCATGCATCAGAACCCTAGTCTTAACCACTTCAAACTAGGGAACAACGAAAGATTAGGAATCACATAGATGAAGACAACTAACTAATTTTTTTCCTTGTTTCAAGATCATCCTCGGTAGACAAAGCCGAGTCTTGTCACTATCAACAAGGCATAAAAAGTAACAAGGACTAAGATGTGTTCCTTGGATTACTGAAAAATCCTGTTCCCTAGTTTGAAGTAGTCAGGACTAGGAATCGGTGGTAGATCTTACATCCCGTAACGCACCACGAAAAGGTGATCTACCCACGTTACGGGGCATTTATAGACATAGCTTCCCTAACGTTCTTGGATCTTCTTTACAGTTTTTTTACGATTTGCCTCAAGTTGTCTGGATTTCTCTAAAGTTTTCTCGACTTTCTAGAACCTCGTAAAAGTTGCCGCAGTTTCCTTGAAGCTGCCTTGGTGTCAGTTCATGAAACTCCACGATTCCTTGGATTTTTTAAAAGTTGTGTGGACCACTCTGAAGTTCGCGCTACTCTTGGTCTGATGATGTGCCTGGAATTGTCCTGGGCTGGTTTTATCTCTTCGCCCTGAAATTGATGAAACTGTATTAATGATCTAAGCTTCATGATGTTTTCTGCACTTCCGTGAACTTTTCGGAACTTCTGTGAAGTTCCCGAATTTTTTTCTTAAGTTCTCTTAACTTCCCTGATGTTTTCAAGACCATCTTTAGTTTTTGGAACTTCTTGAATGTTCTCGCTATTTTCAATGTAACTGACCTTAAGTCCTCTAAATGAACCAGTAATTCTCGGAACTTCCCTAAACTTCCCGCAATCATTCTGATATTCGGCGCTGGTGTTGTAGTGATAAGCGTGATTACCTCTCACCCCAGCACGCCTGGGTTCAATCCCAGTCGGCGCCACCGGGATGTTCTGAGGCATAACATCTCTGATCACGCCTTCCTTCGGAAGGGAAGTAAAGCCGTTGGTCCCCGGTTCATGAGTTGGTGGGTCGATAGATAGGGTCCAGGTGTGGGAGCTGCCTTCCTGGCGTCGGTAGCATTGGTGCTCAGCACGGAAAACAAGATCGACGAAAAACAAATCCAAGGAAAAAAAATCTGATATTCACGAAACTGTCCTTTAGTTCTCAAAACCACCCCGGAGTTCAGGTGACTTCCCTTTAGAACTTTAAACTTAATTATCGTTTTGGCAATTTCTGTAACGTTCCTGCACTTTGCTAAAGTTAATATGACTTCCCTTGAGGCACTTTGATCTTCACTGTAGTTCTCGAAATTTTTCAGAAATCTCACAACCAAGCCTAAATGATCGTAAAACTTACCCAAAATCTGAAGCTTACGGCACTTCATTTGAAATGCTCCCGACTTTTGCTAATGTTCAATAAACTGAGGCTCTCGGAGTTTTTCTGAAATTCTCAGATATTCCCTAACATTTTCTGATGATTATGGAAATTTTCGGAGTTTTCTTGAAGTTCTCGATGTTTTCCTAAAATTTCTTAACTGCTCCGGAGTAATTTGGATCGTGAAATTTCCGGAACTTTCCGAAGGTTCCACTATTTTTGCTGAAATTATAACGAAATTATTAAGGGTAAGTTTATCGTTTCGATAATCACATTTTTTTTAAATTTTGTAAAGAAAATTCACGCGCAATTTTTTCAAAGTCATCATGGCGTAAAGTTGGACTTCAAAAACCACAAAACATCGACCTTTTGGTTTTGCTGAGGGTCCAATTTGTTTGTATGGTGAGATAGAAAACAATATTTTTACATGTAAATTTTCTCAGGTATCTAAATAAATATGGATATTTTTTTCCAATATTTTTAGAAAAGTAAAAACGTGCCGAAAACATTTATTTCCCTTAATGTAGTTCTTAGATTTGCAATTAGGTTCAGTTCAGAAAATTTTCGGAAATTCATGGAACAGTCCTTAAATCATCTTAAAACTTCTCCAAAAATCTAGGTTTCCATGATGTTGAACATGCATTTCTGATGTTATTATAACTGACCAAAGGACGTCTGAATTTCGTTAAGTTCTTTAGACTTCCCTGAATTTCTCAGTACTTTTCAATAGTTCCCGCTAATTTCCCGTATTTCTCCTGAAGTTGTAGAAACTTCTTCGTAACTTTGCGGAACTTGCCCTAAAACCTCTTATTATACCTGAACTTATTATTATTATTTATCATTATTAGGGAGGCTTTCAGCCTTGGACTGGTTCGCCTCCAACATACCTGAACTTTTCTGGACATCCCTAAAGCAGGGAAAACCGGATAATAACCGGAACTTTCTCTTAAAATTTTTGCTCTTGAAAAGTTTTCTAAGACCAGCAGGGCTGGAAAGCACCTCAGAGCGTTAGCAAAGCAACTTTGTGCGTGCATCTCACAACACTCGACAAACAGTGTGTGGTTCTCCAATTTACTTTGCACACTCTTTTTCAACTAATATGTGAGAAAGCGATCCACACAATGAGCGGTACTCTCCGTGCGGTGCAGGGAGCGAATAAAACACAACAAGCAACAGCTAACGTCTTCTTTGAGTTCTTTGTCGTATTTGCTGACCACGATAGCATGCATAGGATATGAAGAAGGGCATAACGAAGAAGAATTTTGTCTTTTTGCTGCGTTTCCCATTTGCAACCCTACACTGAGTGGCACTCTTTGCGTCGGAGCCGTGAGAGCGATGGCTGCACATTGAGCTTTCGTTATTTCTTGGTGTGTGTCTGACTTCCCTTCTCCGCTGCTTCACACTTGCGCAGGGTGAAAAACAAGCCAACTTTGTGTTTGCTTGATTCTCACTTTGTATATTTCAGAAAATCCGTACATTGGGCGCATTGAGTGATCAGATGACAGCCCTGAAGACCAGGATCTTGAAATTTGTTCTCAAATGAAGTTTCAAAATTTTGACCATTTTTGTTAATCCTGGATCTTAAATTTCTGGGTATGGAATCTTAAACTTAACTTAATTATTATTTGCTACACATTTCTCAAGGATTTCCTTAGGAACATTTCAAAATGTCTTCAGGATTTCCCTCAATCATATAATGATTCTGTTCGGTAATCCCTAGAAAGATAAGGTCCATTTTTTGCAGAACACTTCGAGAATTTCTTCCAGAAAATTCTTGAAATTTATTGTATTTTTGCATTTGTATTCTTTTGAGAAATTGCTTTAATTTATCTCCATCAATATTCGCTAGGAATATTCCTGGAAATCTCTAGAGTTTATAAAAGTTTTATCCCAGTTTTTTTTTTTATTTCACGTCAAAATTCCATAGAAATTACCTCAGAATTTCATTGAAATTCTTCTGAAAATCGAGGGGGGCGACACATCTAAATCTCAATTCTAGATGCTCGAAAAATCTCACACTAGCGAATAAATCTTCGAAAAATCTTCTTTCATGTCTCGCATCTACTTGCATAGCGCATCATCATTTTGCAGGAAATCTTCAAAATGGTGATAAATCTTCTTTCTATCTTCTCAGCGTACGCGCAGCTAGCCACAGCAAAACACAATATTTCCTGCATAGTAAATAGACTCGTCCCCCTCCCTCAAAATGCACTTCAGGAAGGTTCGCTTGGAATTCTCTTCAAAATTACCTTGGATATATGTTCAGAATCTCCTGGAGCAGTACTCAGAGCTTCTTTGGAAATGTGCTCAAAATGTTTAGCCAAATCCTCCCAGATTTTTTGATATTTCTTAAAAATTCTTAAAAATTCTTATAGGACTTCAAACTAGCTTTGAATTCTTCAAAGATTTTCTTTTAGCTATAGGGTAGAGAACTACTTCAGCCTAATTGCCTATTTTGGGCCTATCGAGCAGAAAACTTCTAATAAATCCATGATTTCAGAGTTAACAAGTCAATTATACGTTTGGTACGATACTTTAGTTAATAAGCTACGGAACGAAGTCAATGAGAACGCGTGCTATGAAGGTGTGCACCCATTATTCCTAAAAAACAAAAGAAGCGCTCCGACCGAATCAATTTTTATCTTCATCCGATAGGCCGAAGTGAATTCATTTGCGGTTCAATGGCGTTATGCCGAGTTTAGAATCCGTAGGCCGAGTTTGGCGTCAAGAAGCAGTGTTAGACTTTTGACAATACCTCAACGATTGGTTTCTCTTTATCAAATCTTACGGTACATACGGAAAGGAAAATAAATTTGGAAGCCATCAGTAATAAAAACTTTCTGTTTGGAGCTAAACTGCGCTAGATTAAGAAAGACTAAGTGCGGGTTGTGCTTAATAGGCCGGAATTGGGGTAGTTAACCCTAATAAGAATTAGATTCCCTTGATTACTTTCACGATTTTCCTCAATCATATTATTATTCCGTTCGGTAATTCCAAGAAAGATTCTTCATAGAAGTCTATTTTTGTGCAGATTACTTCAAGCATTTCTTCCAGAAAACTCTTGAAATTTAATGTGCATTTATCATTGTATTCGTGTGAGAAATGGCCTTAGTTTCTCTCCATTAATATTCATTACAAATTACTTGGAATATTCCTGGAAATCTCGTGGTATGCCCTCTAGAATTTATAAAAGTGTTATCCGATTTTTTGGATTTCACGGAAGGAAGGAAATATGTTCAGAATAGCCTGGAACACTACTCTGAGTTTCTTTGGAAATGTGCATAAAATGTTCAGCCAAATCCTCCCAAACTTTTTGATATTTCTTATAAATTATTTAAAGTATTCTTTTGAAACTAGCCATAAATTCTGCAAAGATTTTCTTTTAGCAAAAATCATAATTAGATTCTCTTGGAATTATTATCGATCAACATTTTAGAGATATTCAGCTGTAGGTAATTGTTAAGGCCCAAGCGCAATGGCTGCGGAAGCGGAATGGCAGCGGCAGCGGAAAAGCCCGATCTGAGTAAGCCTACTTGACGGATTGAAAACTAGTTCGAACCAAATCGACTTCGGTTAGGCATCTTGATGCCATTTGTGACAACTGTCAAACTTTCCGTTTCCGTTCCGCTTCCACCCACATTGCGTTTGGGCCTTTAGACGTAGTTTCAAGATTGTAGTAATGTCATTATTAAATTTCACTCAAAGGTTACTTCGTTTTGAATCCCTTTCCGGTTCCCTTTGGGAATGGTAATAAAATTCCTTCCGATTTGCTTTTGAGTACCTTTAAATACTATTCACAATCCCCATAATAATCTCTACAGAACTACCTTAGAATTCACATTCACAAATTACCTGAAATTTCCATTCAAATTCCATTGAAATCCTTCCAGAATTCGGTTTTAAGCATCCCTAGAATTCTTCTACAATTCGTCTCAAAACTCATTTGGCATACTCATCATACTTCTCTAGCCAATGCTTCGGAGTGTCAGAATTCCAAAATGTTTACCAAAGAGTCATATTTTGATGTAGGACTACGTCTATGATTTCTATATGGGGGTACATTTTGTGAGAACCGAAAATGGAACATGTAACGAAATTATGAAAGATTTTGAACGTTAATAACTCAGCTGCCCCTGAACCAATTTCAATAACTTTATTACCAATCGATCAGAAATGTTTCTACGCATCTGCTGAAATTAAGACTTAATCATTTGTCATAATGTCACCATTGAAAATTGCACGAATGTGCAACTGTTGCTATGATGATTAAAATTATCACCGATTGCCTGCGAAAAGCGATTTCCCTAACACAAATTTCAAAGTTGAATTCCATCCGGTCACACCAAACGGTGGTTATTCAATCACCGCCTGGTAAGTGATGGTGTTCTCCAGTACACAACGAAAGGCTGCCCGCAAGCAGCGAGCTGCAGTCCACACGAGCATTCACAGAAGGAGGAAGAAGCCGCACCGCTATTGATCGGAATCAGTAGCTCTTCGTGAGCAGGCTTCAAAATTATCCGGATAGGCATGGATAATATAATTATCCGGATAGACCTATCCAGTGGATAGAAATAAATGGAGTCTATCCCTATCCACATTTCTTTCCCTCCGGATAATATCCAAGTAAAAATTATCCGGATAATTTTAACTTGGATATTATCCATTATTTTCCCCTCCGGATATATTGTCAAATACCCATCAATATGGGTATTTTAGGAGTAGGGGTTTTTTTTCCGGCCTCTGGACATCACCCCGACTCCTAAAATACCCGTATTGATGGGCATTTGATAATATTTTCCACCTTCTATCAAACCGGAAGCCGCCATATTGGATTTCAAAATGTCGTCGGATATAAATTTTCGGCCTCTGGACATCACCCCGATTCTAAAAATACCCATATTGATGGGTATTTGACAGTATTTCCCACTTTTATGAAACTGGAAGCCGCCATCTTGAATTCCAAAATGGTGTCAGATATCAATTTCCGGCCTCTGGACATCACCCCGACTCCTAAAATACCCATATTGATGGGTATTTGACAATATTTTCCACCTTCTATCAAACCGGAAGCCGCCATATTGGATTTCAAAATGTCGTCGGATATAAATTTTCGGCCTCTGGACATCACCCCGATTCTAAAAATACCCATATTGATGGGTATTTGACAGTATTTCCCACTTTTATGAAACCGGAAGCCGCCATCTTGAATTCCAAAATGGTGTCAGATATCAATTTCCGGCCTCTGGACATCACCCTGACTCCTAAAATACCCATATTGATGGGTATTTGACAATATTTTCCACCTTCTATCAAACCGGAAGCCGCCATATTGGATTTCAAAATGTCGTCGGATATAAATTTTCGGCCTCTGGCCATCACCCCGATTCCAAAAATACCCATATTGATGAGTATTTGACAGTATTTCCCACTTTTATGAAACCGGAAGCCGCCATCTTGGATTTCAAAATGGCGTTAGATATCGATTTCCGGCCTCTGGACATCATCCCGGTTCTAAAAATACCCATTTTTAGGAGTTCATATTTGATATCAAACATCCCTATTCTAAACATAAACTGTTCGGAGTACTAAATAATGGATATTATCCCTATCCACTTTTTCTTTCTTCCGGATAATTTTAAAACTTTTCTATCCGGATAATTTTAACTTGGATATTATCCGTTTTAAAATTATCCGGATAGGGATAGGGATAATATCCAATGATGGATTGGATAATGGATAATGGATAGGGATAATTTTGATGCCTGTTCGTGAGTCGCTGTGGGTCATCTATGCCAAGCGCGTCATACTAAAGAGTATAAACAGAGAGAACCCCGCTCAAATTCCTATTCCTACACAAATCACAAGCTCCTGCTGTAGTTAACAAATAACATTTATTATATAAGACCACGTAGTCCTACGTCACCATTGCCTACAACCCCATAGGGCTGTCCCTTGTAGGAGTTCTCGCAATTTTCATGAAATTAATGGAACTGCCTTGAAGGTCTCTGATCTTCGCTATTTTTTTAAGTTCCAAGGGAGGGAAATCTTCCGAAAACTGTGATGCCAGTTCCACTGTTTTTTTTTCTTCTCTTGGCGTGACTCGTATACACTCTACTTTTTACCTAATAACAAATGCCCAAACCCTTGTTTTGTTATATCTTCTATAACATCTATTCATTCATCCAATCAAAGATAAGTTTTGCTTATCTACAACACTGGAGGAAATCTTTTCGTCATTTTCGTAGCAACATTCAACAAGCAAAGGAGACAATTCTTGTCTAAGTGAGCAGGTGG